TATGTCGGGGGTGGCACGACCTTGGACAAGAGATGCTACAGGCGTGACCTTGGCATAGTGTTAATTGCAAGATTTGTGATGGATTGGTGTGAAATTGTGATGTGAAGTTGATGCATGATTGATAGAATTATGATATGTAGAAATGATTGTAAATATTTCATTATATAATGAGTTATGATGAGATTACATTGTTGTGTGTTTGTATGTGCTTTACATATAGATGTTTTCTTTTCTCACCGTACAAATTGTGGATGTTTTGGGTGAGGAAGATCCAACTACGAGTGGCATCTAGAATGTCAACAGTTGAATTGTGGGTATGCTCTGATATTGTGACATCGGGGAAGAGAATTTTTAGGACATAGATTTTTATATGGATTTGGAATTGTAAATATTTTTTTGAAAACAATTTGTAAACTCTTGTGTTTCATTTTCTAAATTTTTATTATTGTGGTTATTGAAGAACAATTTTGAAGTTTCTCATGTGAACCCTTTTATCAAAATTGAAAGATTTATTTGTAAGTTTTCATCATTACAATATATGTGTTGGGGTAGTAAGGGTGTTACACGTCTCATCCCTGGTCATGTGTGTAAAGACCCTGCATTAACACATGTTTTTCTCATGAACAATATTTATTATATTGTAAGATGGGGTTTGAGGTATGTATTCGACATATTTTGGTTATGAATTTCTTTAAATCACAATTTTTTTTTTTGCATATTTTGGTTGTTGAAAGTCTTTTTTCCTCTTAACCCTCTTCTGTTCTAGGTCTGAGGCCAAGGATTTGCCTGGGGATGACTGAAGCCAAGGTCTGAAGCCAACGACATAGGAGGATTGTTCAGTAGCATGCAAATCAATAAAAAAGAAAAGGTCTTGTTCTAGTGACCTTGCTGACCATTACATGTCTTGCAGCTTTCTTAGATGTCAGTTGGATAATAATAAAACATGTTTAGCCCCTTTAAAATTATCAAAATATATTTTGGTTATGAATTTCTTTAAATCACAATTTTTTTTACATGTTTTGGTGTTTGAAAGCCTTTTTCCTCTTCACCCTTTTCTGTTCTTGGTCTGAGGCCAAGGATTTGCTAGGGGAT